AGAGGGGAGGGGGGCGCTGGCGGGAGCGGGGGAGGGGGCGCTGGCCCTGTGGGCGTGGGGGAAGGGGGTGGGGACGCTGGCGGCTGCACCCGCGGCTGCGGGAGCGGTGCAGGTGGCTGGCGCCCGGGGACTGGGGGCTGTGTGTGCTCGCGGGGTCCGTCGCTCCCATGGCTGCTTGGCCCCGGACCGTGGTCGTCCTCGAGGCCCTTGCTTAGAGCCACAGACAAAAATTCATCAGTCTGTGTTTTAAAACCCGTTTTTGTTTTTTCTTTAAGATTTTATTTATCTGAGAGAGAGAGAGGCGGTGACAGAGATAGCAAGAGAGAGTACAAGCGGGAGGGAGAGGGAGAAGCAGGTCCCCACTGAGCAGGGAGCCCCGCGTGGGGCTGGATTCATGACCTGAGCGGCAGGCAGGCACTTGATGGGCTGAGCCTCCCAGGCGCCCCTTAAAACACTGCTCTGAAAAATGTTTTCGTGACGAATTTTTTTGGTTTTTTAAAGCTTGATGGTATTCTACATAATTTGGTAAAACAAAGGCAGTCTAAACATGACACTGTAAAGCTAGTGTTTTCTGTCTTCCTTATAAATAGAAATTTCTTCCCTTTCCAAAGAATTTTTGTGCTTTCATACAGATAGAAGCCTAATTAATCATGAGATGAAATGAAATACAGTTAGATCTCCATTATCTTTTTCAGGGAATCCGAGCCCGAATTTTAGAAACTCTGGTCATGCTTGTCCTGCTTGCGCTCCTCATCCTGGGGATGGTGTGGGTGGCCTCCGCGCTCGTTGACAAGGACGCCGCGAGCATGGAGTCTTTGTACGGTCAGTCCGCTTCTCTCCGGGACCTTGAACCGGCCTATGACTGCACGTTCGCTGTCGTGAACGTTGTAGTGATTCTTTGTGTGGTCAGCCCTTGTTGTTAGTTTACAGAGTTAACAAGTCTTTAGACAGGTTTCAGAAAATAAATGAGTGTTCCTGTGTTTGCTGTATTCAGAACGAGCAAGCAGCTTTTAAGATTTTTCTTTGTTTCTTAGTTGGTTTCTGTTCTTAAAATTCCATGGAGACTTTTTTTCTCCCTCCAAACAGGTTTTGCAAAAGGGGTATTTCCTTTTCTGTTTTAGATCTTTTTATTGTACAATTTAGAAATTATATGGTTTAGTAGACTCAAATAGACAATTATGATGTTTATCAAACATTATAGTCAACCTATATCTTAATGTACAATATTTTGGATTTACTAAAATATATTTGTGTTTCTTTACAGATCTCTGGGAGTTCTACCTACCCTATTTATATTCCTGTATATCTCTGATGGGATGTTTGTTACTTCTCCGTAAGTATTTTTCTGGCTTAATGTTGATGGGAAAATGGAGTTCTTTGTTCTAGAAAATTATACTAAGGTTTCCTGATGAAATTACTTAACAGCTTGGAGATGTTTTTAAAGTTGGCCCTTAACTTTTTTTATGTTAAGATAAATTTTGATAAACTGAAGCCATGAAATAATGCTCATGTGTTGTTCTTTAAGGAAAGCCTCTCTTGTGGAGAGACACACACACAGGCCCACACTCACTGAAGCATTAGATTCTACTTTTGAGTGGTAACATAGACCCTGTGTGGTGAATTTGTGGTTTAATTTATTTAAAATGTACTCAGTTTTACCTGAGGCATTACAGCATATCTCAGGGATATTATAAGCAGATAAATGTAGTTAAAAGGAGTTAAGATAATAGTTGTTTGGTTCTCAACTCCATCAGTACTTGAAATTTTAATCTGTTCTTTAGTTTTTTTTTTTTTAATTTTTTAAGTGAAAATACTATTATTCAACTGCTAGAGTCTTGCACGTGCTAAGCCTTCTTCAGTCTTTGGGTATCTTTCATCTTTCACCTGTCATCCTCTCTAGCTTCTTTATTGATGAAGACTCCTCTGATAAAACACTGAGAGAATCTAAATTTGAGGCAAGAATTTTCTTACAACGATAGTCTTGGAGTCTGTTCTGTATTTTGCACTAGCCATTTATCAGCCTCCTCTCTGTGACCTCTCCTGCAGTGTGTACCCCTGTTGGCCTTTCCCGCATGTTCACAGTGATGGGTCAGTTGCTGGTGAAGCCAACAGTAAGTGTGTCATCTTGTTTGTTAAATGTGTTTACATTTGAACATCTTTTAGGTTGTGAATTAGCAATCAGAAACATTAGTGTATTTCTGTGGGCTTGTGACCTCCTTGTTATTGTTGCTTTTATTTTAATCTTTTTCATCTTTGGAAACAAATTTGTTTTTGCTTTTAAAATACTAACTATAGACACTCAGGTAGAAATTCTTCTAGCAAATTTTAAGACAAAATTTACAAATACTTACAGGTATTTTAGGTGTCTGTTGTATCAGCAGTAACTCTGTTATGTTTCAAAATTTACCACATATATTCCTTGATTTACAGAGCAGTTATGTCTCTGAGAAGTTGTCTGCATGTTACATTTTGATTATACTTTTCACTTTAATCTCAGAGTTGCCATATATTCATTTTTGATTTTCAGTTGGTAGTAATTCTTAGCTGCATTTAAGGAACTTGCCATTTACATTCTTTTCATGGGTCCTCACTGCCTACAGACTCAGGTCTGAATGACTCACAGCCTCTTCCCTAGTCCGCTGACCTCCAGCCTGTGCTCCTGCCCCCGCGGCTCTGACTGCACGGTTGCTGCTAATGGGCTGTGCTCACAACGGGCCGCCTGCTTTCACTTAGCAGGCGTGTCCGGGGCTTTCTCCTATCAGTGCCCCCTGCCTGCTCCAGCCGCCTGACCGCCTCCTCAAGGCCTGGCTCTGATGTTGCTGCACCCACTGCCTACTCTTGAACCTTGCCTCACCTCTTCTTTAAGTTGAGATAATCAAGCTCCTTTCTCTGCACTTTTCATATTCCCCTTTGTTAGTACCTATTAAATTATTTTGGTTATATGTTTGTCTTTCCTATTGAGGTGATTAATCAGAAAAAATTTGAGGAAATATTGTAGTAGATATTCCTTTAGTAATGCTTGCTTAATTTTGAAAGATTTAAAAAAATAAGTGACAAATAATTTTTTCCTGTCTTTTAAAAAAATAAAATTGGATTATTTAACTCGCTACATAAATGTATACACACTCAAAACATGCTATCAAATCTTGAAATTCACTTCCCTCTTGAAGAGGTTTCATGACACTGCATTCTTAATTTTTTCCTGATTCTCTGGCAGAGCTTTTCTTTTTGTTTTTTGGTCTCCTTTTCCGTTTTTATTTCCTAGCCCCCTAAGATAGGCAAATGTTCCAAGTTCTGTCCTTGGTCTAAAGTTGCTCTGCTCTGTTCTCCTTACCACCTCTGCCACTTTCATGACACTTCTAAATGTGTAGCTCTAGGGAGCAAAAGGCACCGAAAACAAACTACACCACATTGTAAATGCTATACCCGAATACTCAACGGAGCTGAAAGCTCAGCTTATAGAAAACCAAACTACTTACTTAGTGCCCTTCCCAAAGCTGATTTTTGTCCTAAACTTGTCTCTTATTAACATTATTCTCAAAACTTTAATTATCTTCACCTCTTTTCTTGTTCCTAACATCCAATATTAATGATACTCAATTCAGTGTAGGCTCTATGTTTGTGATAAGTACTATATTTTACACACATTTCATTTAATTGTGTTAACAAACCCATAAGTTAGGTGGTGGTCTTATTTTATGGCTGAATTAACTGTAGTTCAGGGAGATTAAGTCACTTGTACGAGATTACAGATCAGTCATGATGGGGTGGGATTTGAACCCAGAGACTGGTTACAGACCCTGGGCTCTGGACCACTGTTTTGTTCTGCCATAAGCTCCAGAATACTCGAACCGCTTTATTGCTGAGTGTACTTCATACCTCTTCATCTCTGTGTTTTGCTTACAGTTTTTTCTGATCCAAATGCCTTTCCCCTTTTTAGTAAGCTAAGCTATCAGCTAAGGAGGCTACTATTATCAAAACACTCGCCAAAACTTTTTTCTTCCCACCTAGAATTTGGGGGTCTTTCTTCCTCTGAACTTTTGTAACATTTTATTTTTGCTTCAGTTATGACAGTTATTTTCACCCTATAATTATTTTTTTGAGTTCATTCTGTGTTTCCTGGACACTAGAACGTAAGCTGTTTGAGGTCAGGGACTGTGTTTGACTCATATTTAGGTCCCCATCAGCTCAGAGTGTTTCAGAGTATAGGCTTTAAAAGGCAGATAACTTTTCTTTGCCAAACCCTTGTTTCTTGGCATATTATAAGACGGGGGTGATAACAGTGTGTTTTTCATTGGATTGCTGTAGAATCAAGGGGATGAGGCACACAAGCATTTAACACAAATATCGGTGTGCCGTTCATTGTCCCTCACTCACATGAAGACAGACCCATGGTGGTAAGTCACTAGTGGATAGTTTGCATCGTAAGAGGAAATCTCTTTGTATGGGCTAGACCTTAAGAAAAGTAAAAACTGGATTGTGATCCAAATGGTAGAAATGGTGAGAATATCGATGGGAAAGAAGCTTGATATCATGACCCACAAAGATAGGGCCCCTGCCTACTGTAGGCTCAGAGCCTGTCTTGGATTCATTTAGCCCAGTCCGCTGCCCGTACCGGTGCTGTCCATCGGCCCAGTCTTTCCCGCTTAGGACTCAAGGGTCATCTCCTGGGGGAGGCCCTCAGTGGTGGCCTGCTGAAGTGGGTCACCCCACCCTTTTCTCCGAGGTCGGTCAGCTTTTGTACTTATTTATTTGTGTGTTGGTATATTTATTCTTATTTTACTATTTTATTTTGCTGTGAGTGTTAAACCTGTTGATAATAAGGGATTATCAATATTTGTTGAAATACTGGGAATTATTGGATTGCTCTAAATAAATTTTATAGAAATTAGGCAGATTTGATACCTGATGGGAGTTACATGCTTTGAGACTGCTTTTTATGAATGTACCTCATCAGGGAGCTGAAAGGATATACATATATAGGGTTTCTACCCTTTTACTTTGTCCATCAACTTCTCACAATTTATTGTTTTGTTGGGAATAAGTAGTTTGGGTTTGAATGACATTAAATATATCAGCTCTGGGCTTCTTTCATATTTTCCCCAGAGCTAGGAAGATATTTAGGATCATTTCAAGAAGGATACCTATGTTAACAAAGCTAGAATTAAACATATTTTAGCCTTTATCAGTTGTGAAGATAGTGCAGATCATATCCTATGTAATTGGTGATTGATTAGTGGTTCTTGTTTTTTACTAGTGTTGTACGGTATGGTAGTGAGTGGGGTATATACAAGCATAATCTTTCTCTCGGCTTCTGTCTACAGAATGATTTTGATAATACCAGTATTCATAATTTGCAGAAAATTTTTATTATATACAGATGATGTAATTGGAAAGTATTGCGTGGTAGTTACTGAGTTTATAGGTCTCTTGTGTTAAATATTATGTAGGTAAATATAAATGAGAAACCAGTGTTGGACAGAGTGATCTATTCCTTCTTGCTCTAAAATGTTGGTTTGGGCATAAGAGGTATAATTGTATTTAGCCTTTTGGATATTGAGAATTCATACATTTACTTGTCATTGAGAGAACTGCAGTGTTCTTTAATCCTTTAAATTTAAATATATGTAGATTTTCTAATAGTCAACTTTTGATGTGTTTAGTTATATGCCAAAATATTTTTCCTAAACTTATAAATAAACTAGTTTGAGTATTTTTATTTTAAATTCCTAATGATTTTAAATGGTTATCTAAGTCATAGGCCAAATAACCTAAGTGTTCTCATAAGCACTAGTTTTCTAATGTTGCATTAGTCAAAGGTTTGATCTTTGAATTTAGATTCTTGAAGACCTGGATGAACAGATTTATATTATTACCCTAGAGGAGGAAGCACTGCAGAGACGACTAAATGGTACGTATGTATTCCATAGTTAGAGCTCAATAAAAAATTATTTAATTCACAAAAAGACAGCTAATTGAGGGGGGGAAAATACAAGCCTCTTAGCACATTGTGCTGATGCACTAGGTCAAGACCTAAGAGTAACATGTGAACGTCCCAGGTGAGGATAGTTTTGCTGAAGACTAGTGGCACTGTGGTCAAGTTCCTGTCTTTCCCTAGCTGTGATTAGCTATAGTCTAGCAAGGCCAGTTCAGTTCTGAGACACTGGCCACTAAGGCACACCTCTACTGCTATGTATTTTAAGCATGACGACTTAGTTACTGAGGTTTTGCAAATTTGCATGTTTTCTTAGTGACTTTAATATCCCTACTGCATTTCTTTCCTGTTGAAATCTTTAAGGTCAAAAGTAGTATGTCTCTTTGCTACTAGGTGCTAAATTTGACTGTCTCAGTTAGGCTTAGGAGCTCTGTTGTTATTTAGGAATGCTATTCATAATCAGCTGTGATAACCAAGTAAGCATGTCAAAGATCTTAAAGTTCAGTTTTTATTTACCCATCCTTTTGGCTTCAAATGAAGGACCAGTAGAAAAAAGAATAATGACATAGTTTAACAGAGAAATGATATAATTTGGGTAAATTTTCTATTTTACTTAAATGCTTTGCACTCTGCACTCTCTTCTCCTGAAAAGCTGTTTTTTTTTTCTTTAATGTTGAAAACCAACCCCAAGATCAGGTTGTTAATAGCTAACTGTATTTCAGGGTCATAATTAAAGAGTAGATATAAAATGGAAGGGTACTTTAAGTATGAAATAGGAAGAAATATACCTACTTTCTTAAGCTACAAATAGTGAATTTAAAGATTTTATTTTTATTTATTTATTTGAGAGAGAGAGAGAGAGAGCACAAGCAGGGGGAGAGGCAGATAGAGAGGGAGAAGCAGGCTCCCCGTGGAGCAGGGAGCCTTACACTAGGCTCGATCCCAGGACCCTGGGATTATGACCTGAGCCGAAGGCAGACGCCTAACCGACTGAGCCACCCAGGCGCCCCACAAATAATAAATTTAAATCATCAACTCAAAAGTGTTGCTAACATTTAGACCTTTATTCTTAAATCAAATTTTATCTATTTTAGAGAATTCTTGGCAATAATATTGTATCCTTTGGTACCAATAACTTTTAGACTGGAACTACGTGTATCTTTTATTCTTCTAATGTTATTAAAGCTATTTTAATATTTAAGCCTATTTTGTTTCAGAATTATAACTTTACACTCAATACTGTCAGCTTTATAAAATTTCGTTAAAGTAGTAAATATTATAATAAATTTGTCTTACTTAGGTGATCATGCTAATATGTGATAAATATGCCTGAATTGTCATGCTGCCTGCAGTATGCAGTTATGTTTCAGCCTGAAATATATGGTCTTTCTGTCTTACAGATCAGGAGGCTGAGAACTAGGAAGGGTAAAAGATAGCACCCCATGGTGGCCCCTGGGTAGCTCAGTTGGTTAAACGTTCGACTTTTGATCTCAGCTCAGGTCTTGATTTTAGGTTTGTGGGTTTGGGCCCCACATCGGGCTCCACGTGGGATGTGGAGCCTACTTAATTAAAAAAAAAAATATATATATGTATATATATATAGTGCCCCATGAATTAAAGAAGTTGAGTTAAAACAAAACTAAACCAAAAATACAACCTTTTCCCGCTTTTTGCTTTAAGAAAAAGTCCCTCCAGAATCTTTCTAATCCTTTGGCTCCTCAAATTCAAAAGTGAATCATTATATCTAAAGAAATTGCAAAAGAAGTAGTTGCCAGAAGGCTAGATATATTACAAAATGAAGCCAAACCCAAATAAACAAAATACCCTGACTACCACAGAAATAAAATTTGGAGAGGATTAAGCATGTTATGATAGCTAATGCTAAGTATAATTTTATTTTCTGCCATTTTGGTAAGCCATGCACCACTTCTAAGTGCTCTGTTGGTAGGTTTTTAAAGTCTTTCTATTGATGCTCTTTAATGATATTTGGGATAGTTGCTGTAGTTTTGTTATTTGCTGCTTGTTAGCACTGTGGACTGTTTCAGGTGGAAAACAACAGGCTTGTAACACAAATGGTTCTATAGTAAAGCGTCCCACTCTTGATCTCAGTTCATGTCTTGATCTCAGGGTCATGAGTTCAAGCCCCATGTTGGGGTCCACACTGGGCATGGAGTCTACTTAAAAAAAAAAAAGTATAGATCATGGAATGTAAGTAGTGGAAATCATCCTCATGGGTTTGATTTAATCTAGTATTATGTCAAGTGCATTTTGTTGTAACAGTTATTTTGCATTTTAAATTATTTTTTTAAAAGTGAATTTAAATAATACATTATATGTTAAAAAAAAGATAGTAAGAAGGGAAAAATGAAGGGGAGGAAATCGGAGGGGGAGACAAACCATGAGAGACTATGGACTCTGAGAAACAAACTGAGGGTTCTAGAGGGGAGGGGGTGGGGGATGGGTTAGCCTGGTGATGGGTATTAAGGAGGGCACGTACTGAACAGAGCACTGGGTGTTATATGCAAACAATGAATCATGGAACACTACATCAAAAATTAATGATGTAATGTATGGTGATTAACATAACATAACAAAATAAAAAAAGTGAATTTAAAATATTTTTTATTCTGGGCTATTTTTTCTTAAAGGTTTTATTATTTATTAGAGCACTTGTGCACAAGCGGGGGGGGGCAAAGAGAGAGGGAGAAGCCGACTCCCTGCTGAGCAGGGAGCCCGAAATGGGACTTGATCCCAGGACCCTGGGGTCATGACCTGAGCCAAAGGCAGACGCTTAACTGACTGAGCCACCCAGGCATCCTATATTCCTATATTCTTTTCAAGAATATAGGAATAATAATAATAGAAAATTAAAAATTTTTTACAGCAGCGATTTACTCCAGAATTCATGGTGGTGTTTTGCTAGTGGCCATTGAGTGTGCTTTCTTGGTCTGCGTGGGGATGTGTGAGGCACATCACAGGAATCTTTGGGACATCAGCGTGGTTTGCTCTGAGCTCAGCTTCACAGTCATTGAAAAAAAATAACACTTTTTTTTTCTGGAAGATATGTAACTTGTTGTGGTAGTTCTTATATTATTGGAGTTGAATTTCCATGCATAGTTTTTAAAATATCAGTATACTTTTTGATAGAATACTTGCCTGTGACTTCTCCATTGTTCGTGTTTATCACTTGTTGGTGCTAGTTTTGTTCTTATGAATATTAGTATTACTTCAGAATGTTAATATGTTATAAAATAAAGGTATAAAATTATAAAGTTATAAAGTTAATGTTACAAAACAAAACATGTTAATATGTTATTAAAATAAATTTAATGTTATAAAATATATGTTAATAAAATAAAGCTAACTTGTACACTATTATAATGTAAATCAGTGTTCTAAAGAAGCCATCCTGTTAGTGGTCTGCTTGGCTTTTTGTCCTCCCTTTTCTGTTTACTGCTCATCTTCTTCTAAGCAGCAGACCTTGAGCAGATGAATTTAAATTCTGAGTCTCAAGATCATAGATGAGTTGGCTGAAGAAGAGAAAAACAAGGGTAAGGATCTATAAGATTTTATCCAGAACTGGAATACTTGAAAAAAAAAGAAATAGATGGTGGGAGTTATATGTATTCCTGGAGCAGGGGGGAGCCCCGGATTTCTAGCCGTCTGCTGCAGACAGCCCTCCCTAGTGTGCACATCACATGCAGGAGTGAGACGTCCCAGGACTCAGCACTGTCCCACGAGGCTCCTGCTCTTCGCGGCCGCAGCACACAGCCTTACTTTGGTGTCTGCCTTGAGGCCAGGGGGAGCACTGCTTGCGTTCTTCCCTCCCCCTTTCTGTAGTCAGCATAAGGAGCCCAGAATATCCAGGACCCTTGCATCTCAGATTGTCCCTCACATCTCTCTACGTCGCATTTCTGACCTGATTTCCCGCTGTCCCTGAGCTCCTGAAACTCTGCTTATACCATGTGGAACCCTGTGGATCTAAGAGCTGCTGGGACACAGCAGCAGAGCCACCGAAATCCTCCGTCTTCTCCCTCTTGCTAGAAGAAATTTGGCTCCCCCAGCACATAGTGCTGCTCAGTCCCTCTCAGGTGATAGCTGTGTTCTTTCCCACGCCCCTTACTCTACTCCTGCGGGGGTTTGGGCGGGCGTCCTCCCGTCCTCTTCTGCTTTCACACGCTTTGAATCTCATCTCATTAGATCGTGGCCCGATTACTTCTTTTCCCTTCATTCCTCTCCTTCCAGACAGTTCCTCTTCCATCCTTAAGGTTCATGATCATTCTTTCTTTCTCTCTTTTTTTTTCTGATCAGTCTTTCTGCCACTGTGCCTGTCGCAACTGGGGACTTCGGTGTCTGTGTGGATGACCCTTCCGGCCTGCCTGGCCAACCCTACACCTCTCTCGGGGGTCTTCCTCGGCCGCTGGCTGCCTGGGGCCACAGCGCAGGCCTGTCACTAGCAGGACAAGCTCTTGTGCGGTCTCACCATGAGTCACCCTGCCCTCCAGCTTGCTGCCTGACGTGTGCCATGCCCCGTGGTCCTTCCTGCCGTCTGTGCGTCTCAGTAACTTTTTACTGCGTTTTCTCCCGCACCTCCTTCAGACCCTTGCTGTCTCGCACAGTTTCAGTTCCTGGGCCATCGTTTGACTCAGTGCCCTGCTTTCTCAGTTCCCTTTCCCTCTCTCTGCGTGGCCAAACCCTAGCCTTGGTCACAGCCAGCTCTTCATGTTCTCGGCACGCACGCCTGTTCAACTGCCTGCCTGGCCTTGCCTTGAATGTATGACCAGTACGTTAAACGTACTTTATGTTCTCCGGGAGTCATTTTATGCCTTCTCTTTCCTCAGGACTTCTTCACCATCACTCTCAGCCAAGGACCTTGCTTCCTCTTTTCTTGAGAAAATAGAAGCAAGCGTGCTGAAATGTTGACAGGCTTTTCCCTTCGTACTGACTCATCTACCTGCACCACCCCCACATGCTGC